CCAGAAAGAACAGCTTCTCCATCCCCAGTAGTGGCAAAATCCCCTCCCTGACCCATGCTGCCATTAGCCTTTCCACCTTTGTTTGAGGAGCTAAACCCTGCACTGCCCGAGGCAACAGTGATGGCCTCCCTTGAAGCAGTTGCCAGGCAAAATAATGTTGATTCTCCTTAGGAGCCACCCCCACCACTCCTGTTTGTTTCCTGACCTATAACTAAAGTCCTCTCAGGCCCCTAGAGGTGAGGTTGAGAGTGTGACCCACGAGGAGGTGCGCTACATTCGAAAAGAACTGCTTAAGTTCCCTAGTGTATATAAACAGAAATCTGGAGAACAGGCATGGAAATGGACATTAAGGGTATGGGATAATGGTGGAAGGAACATAGAGTTGGATCAGGCTTAATTTATTGATTTGGACCCACTAAGTAGGGACTCCGCTTTTAATGTTGCAGCTTGGGGAGTTAAAAAAAGGTTCTAATAGCTTATTTGCTCAGTTAGCTGAAATATGGATTAAAAGATAGCTCACTGAGAGCAAGCTGGAAATGCCTGACCTCCCTTGGTTTAATGTAGAGGAGGGAATCCAAAGGCTTAGGGAGATTGGGATGGTGGAGTGGCTTAGTCACTTTACACCTACTCATTCCAGCTGGGAGGGTCCAGAAGATATAGCCTTTACCAATGCATTGTGATACAGATTTGTGAGGGCAGCACTTGCATCTTTGAAGAGCCCTGTAATTGCTCTTTTCTGTATGTCAGATCTAATGGTGGGAACCATAGTCATTCAACCACAAAATTTAAATACAATGGGCATAATTGGATCCCAAGGAGGCAGGGGCCAAGTGGCAGCACTCAACCGTCAAATGCAAGGTGGGCGTAGCTAACATAATGGACAGCAGAGGCAAAGCAGCAATCAGAATAGTCTGACTCGTGTGGAGCTCTGCCATTGGCTAATTAATCACAGTGTTCCTAGAAGTGAAATTGATGGGAAGCCTACTGCATTCCTTCTTAATTTATATAAGGAGAAAAATTCTAGTTCGAATGGACAAAAGACTAATTTGAATTACAAAAACAGAGAATCATGGCCCCTCAATCAATTTCCAGACTTGAGCTAGTTTACAAACCCAGAACCCCTTGAGTCTGGGTCCCCTTGAGGAAGGACCCTACTACATCACTGACAATTTATGCAGTGAATCTTTTCCCCATCCTTCCTCAAGGAGACCTCCAGCCTTTCACCAGGGTAACTGTGCATTGGGAAAGGGAAATGATCAGACATTTTGGGGGCTACTGGACCCTGGCTCTGAGCTGATGTTGATTCCAGGGGAGCCAAAATGTCATTATGGTCCTCCAGTTAAAGTAGGGGCTTATGGAGGTCAGGTAATTAAAGGAGCTCTAGCTCAGGTCTGACTTACACTAGGTTCCAGTGGGTCCCCAGACTCATCCTGTGGTCATTTCCCCAGTGCCAGAATGCAAAATTGGCATAGACATACTTAGCAGCTGGCAGAATCCCCATATTGGCTCCCTGACTGGTAGGCTGAGGGCTTTCATGGTGGGAAAGGCCAAATGGAAGCCATTAGAGCTGCTTCTACCTAGAAAAATAGTAAATCAAAAACAATATTGCATACCTGGAGGAAATGAGATTAATGCCACCATCAAGGACTTGAAAGATGCAGGGGAGGTGATTTGAATTCCCCCAACATTTCCATTAAACTCTCCTGTTTGGCCTGTGCAGAAGACAGATGGATCTTGGAGAATGACAGTGGATTATCATAAGCTTAACCAAGTGGTGACTCTAATTGCAGCTGCAGTACCAGATGTAGTTTCATTGCTTGAGCAAATTACCACATCTCCTGGTATCCAGTATGCAGACATTGACTTGGCAAATGCCATTTTCTCCATTCCCGTCCATAAGGCCCACCAGAAGCAATTTTCCTTCATCTGGCAAGGCCAGCGATATACCTTTACTGTCCTACCTCAGGGGTATATTGACTCTCTGGGTTTGTGTCATAATCTTATTCTTGTGATGGTTAATACTGAGTGTTACCTTGATTGGATTGAAGTGTACAAAATATTGATCCTGGGTGTGTCTGTGAGGGTGTTGCCAAAAGAGATTAACATTTGAGTCAGTGGGCTGGGGAAGGCAGACCCACCCTTAATCTAGTGGGAGCCATCTAATCAGCTGCCAGCGAATATAAAGCAGGCAGAAAAATGTGAAGAGGTGAGACTGGCCTAGCCTGCTAGCCTACATCTTTTTCCCATACTGGATGCTTCCTGCCCTCGGACATCGGATTCCAAAGTTCTTCAGTTCTGAGACTTGGACTGGGTCTCCTTGTTGCTCAAACTTGCAGACAGCCTGTTGTGGGATCTTGTGATTGTGTAAGTTAATACTTAATAAACTCCTATATATATATATATATGTGTAGGAGTTTATTAAGTATATATATATCCTGTTAGTTCTGTCTAGAGAACCTCAAGTTTATATTACCAGTATTACCAATATTTTGGGGGAGATGTAGCAATGGATTTTTTCAATACTTGTGACTTTTCTGTTTTTAAAAATGTTTAAGAAAATCAACTATATTAAATATGTGATTGTATTTTGAAATGTTTAATAGGGTTTGTTGGTGTTAAATAAGGAAACTTCACTTGTTTAATTTATTAGCTAAGTTGTAAAGAAAATAAGTGCCTTGAGTTTCAAGGCTTAAAATAGCTTGTAACAGTTACAGTTTAAAAAACTTTGGATTACTTTAAACGTTAGTTACTAAGTACCTGTTTCTACACAGATAACCCCTCCTTATACACTAAATAATAAATTAACAAGTGTTACTGAGGGCATGTTGACATGAACACTTCAAGTTGCCTCTAAACAAATTAGCAAGAGGCAGGGCAAGCAGCATTTAGTTGGGGCAGTTAGAAAAGTAGTCAAAGATATGCAATGAACAACGAACAAAAGCAAAGAGTGACTTAGCTATAGGCAACCTGTTTATTTACAATAAAAGCATTGTGTTGGCAAACTAGATCCCTGAAGCTAGATGCTCCACAAAGATGAGGATTTCGTGCATTTTACCCACTGTGGTGGCTCTGCTGTATTTTCACTGCCTGCTCCACAGTGTGCATTCACATCATTTTTGTTGAACGAATAAAGGTGGGTTTCAAAGGACCACTTGCTTCAGAACTACCCAGAGTCCCTTAAAATGCGGATTTACGGGATTCTTCTGGGTGCGGATTTACGGGATTCTTCTGGGGGACTGCATCCCGAGGGGTGTGGGAACCTGCATTTTTTTTACAGCCTCTCTTTCACATGGTATACAGTTTGAGAACCACTGAAGTTCAACCTCTTAACCTTGCTAGAGAGAAGACTAAATGGTTTGCTCAGGGTCCTATGGCTAATGACAGCTGAAAGTAGACCCCAAACTGTCAGTCTCGAAAACTTCATTGCTTTGTTTATTTCCTCTAGCTTTCAACGTATAGGAAGAGGGAAATAATTCAGCTTTCAGGTTTTGCTGTCATTTGCTTCTGATAGATGGTTGATTAAAAAATCCATTTGTCGCCGGGCGCGGTGGCTCAAGCCTGTAATCCCAGCACTTTGGGAGGCCGAGACGGGCGGATCACGAGGTCAGGAGATCGAGACCATCCTGGCGAACACGGTGAAACCCCGTCTCTACTAAAAATACAAAAAACTAGCCGGGCGAGGTGGCGGGCGCCTGTAGTCCCAGCTACTCCGGAGGCTGAGGCAGGAGAATGGCGTAAACCCGGGAGGCGGAGCTTGCAGTGAGCTGAGATCCGGCCCCTGCACTCCAGCCTGGGCGACCAGGCCCGGCCCCCTTCCGCATCAAATAGAAGAAAAAATAAAAAATCCATTTGTCATGGTTTCAGTACCACTTCTTCTCCAGCATTATTTCATACTGCATTTCTCCATCGTTTTTCAGACTAGTCCCTATTTTTTTATTTTCCAATAAAATTATTTTTGAGCTGCCTGTTAATGTCTGTGAACTTTTAATGTTTTCTTATTTCACTTGAGTAGAGCTGTGAGAAAGCGTTTATTCCACCTAAGTAGGGCCTTCAGAGTCTTAACCTGTTTTTCTAGGAAGACTCTTCTGGGTCTCCGGTGGTGGAAGCCATTCTGTTACACCGCTGTGTTTGCTTAGGAAATACCATATTCCTATGCAAGCTTGACAGTGAAACGATTGGAAGAAGCAGTCTTCACCCGTGTAACAGCTTCCTCAAAAGAGCTTCATCCAAAGGCACGATTTCACAGGGCTCCTGCAAAGCTTGCTTTGTTTCCCCAATTTCTTGGGCATGTCGGACATGCCAAACCTAGATAAACGATTTGAAGGAGTTGAGGTCATTGTTCAGGATCTGTGACCGACAAGATTTCTTTTTGTAGAGTAATGTAACATTGGGCAATGCCTAAGGAGTAATGGCGCCTCAGTTTCCTTAGTTATTCCTGCCCTCTTCCTTTCACCTGTTTGCACTTTGCATATGAGGAGATAATTAGTAGTCAATTGATTAGAGAGCAATTTCAACATTTTTCAATATCCTTAATATAAAGCAATAAAGCAGGCGGCTGAAAAAACAACAGCAGTTTACAGAGCGCGGTTTGATCAGAGATGCTCACTTTATTTTAATCAGGACGACTGGCCTTAATTTCATTTTTTAAGTTGTTAACACTAAAACTCTTTAGAAGAGTTCCCTAATTTGAAGAAAAATTCAGCCGGCTGCTTTCTTGGGCGCACTGGTCAACCCTAGCGATTTCACCTGGGAAAGCACTGAAACCGGCCACTCCCTGCAGGATGGCCAGGGAAGCTGGGCTTGTGTCCCCGGTGCCCAGCCCCAGACCTCCTCCGCCCTCTTCTCCCCCACGCGGAAGAGAACGCGGTGCTGCGCCCAGCAGCGCAGGTAGGGCCTCCAGAGCTGGGGCAGGGGCGGCTGGCGTGACAGAGTGGCCGTGGTTCCTGAGCGAGCAGGGCCTCGGCAGGTGAGCGCACCCTGCACCTTTGCGCCCAAGGCGCGGCGATCTCCGCTCATCCAGGCCGCACCCCGGCGCTGCTTTTTTCCGTCCCGACCTAGGCACCGCGGGTTCTACTGACCCCGCCAACTAGGGGAATCCGTGACGGACGCCGAGGCTTGCAGGGTGGGGGCGGCGGGAGACAGAGCCCAGGGAGAACCGCCGGGGCGACGCGGCGGGTACCCTACTGGGTCCTCCCAGGGATGGCGACCAGAGAGCGAGCCTAGGGTCCGGGTCCAAGGCAGGCGTTGCGTAGGGAGCCCTGAGACCCCCTGAGTCCGAGATTGGTGCCCGCCCGGGCAGGCTGCGCGGACTTCCGAGGGTCCCGCGCGCTGGGACACGCCCTCATCCTGGGGGACGACCCGGTGGCCCCAGGCACCGCCTCCCGTTCCCGCCCCGCGCCCCGCAGCGCTTAGGCTTCGGCACACTGGGGGCCGAGTCCCAGTGCAGCTCCAGCCGACCCCCGGGACTAGACAAGGGCAGGCACGCGTGAGGACTGCGGCCGGCCGCGTAGCCGCGCTCTGGTCCCGCTGGCCATTTCTTGGGCTGCGCACCCTCCGGAACTGCGTCAGGATCCTCCACGAGCCTCCCACTCTCTTCTGCCCGCTTGCGAACATGTGGCCTCTCAAACCCTGCGCCCCGCTGTCCACACTCCTCCTGCTGGCGCTGGCTTTGTCCCCGCCCGGAGCCCACGGGAGGCCGCGGGGGCGCAGGGGAGCGCACGTCACGAATGAGGAGCCCAAGCCGTTACTTTTCCTCCCCGCGGCCGGGGCCGGCCGGACTCCCAGCGGCTCCCGGAGCGCAGGTAGGATATCCCCGTCCCGCCCCATCCTTTGCTCTGCGACTGGGGCTCCGTGGATTCCCCTAGGAGCTGGGCGAGGCACTCGCTTTGGGAAGCTTGAGATTAGTACAGCAGAGAACAGAGCATCTCTGCAGATTCCCAGCTCTCAGAAAGAGGTCGTAAGCGTATTAGATTTACCACGGTTGAGAGTTAAGTAAAGAAATCCAGTTGGCAATGGGACCAGCCTTCTATGTCCCCTCCCAGGTGTGGGAGGCCTTTTTGGAAATAAACTGGTAAAGCAGCCCAAAGATATGAGTTTCAGTCCCACCGGCCTAGGGGTGGTGGACAGGTTAGGACCCTGTCAGCACCTCATTTCTGGGTCTTCCAGGGTTTTGAGAATTAACTAAGATTGCTGTCCGTAGACACCTGACGGTGCCAGGAATGCCCAGTTCCCTTCCCCTTTACGCTGGCCACAGCGAGTGGCTGAGGATGCGCCAATTTCAGCAGGCGGCAGCTTATGTTACTGGAACCTTTCCTAGATCATTTTAGAAGGGCCCAAGACGCAGCCGGCTGCTCCCAAATCGACTTTGGACAAGTCAGGTTCCTGCTACTTAGATGCCCAAGGGGAGTGGAAGGAATGAAAGAGGAAAAAGTCACGCTCTAGAGGGTCGTGAGACTCCCACAGGCAGAGAAGAGGTCTTGTGAATGCAGGGAAAACGGAAAAGGCCCTGGAAAAGGAGGTCCGAGGGGGCGGCCGGGCATTTGGGGCAGCGCTGAAGGGAGGAGGGCAGGACACGCAGGGAAGGAAGATGGGGACAGAAGCGAGAAGCTCCTCACACGTTTCTGTTCACACCCAGCAACAGTAAAGCAACGTGAAGCTGGCCGCGAGGCTGGGACAGAAGGGCCCCTCTGCAGGGACATTTGGTGGCCTCCACCAGGCTTGGGAAGAGGAGAGGGCCTAGGGTGGTCTGGGGACGCCCGGCAGCTAGTGGCTGGCCCTGGGAGCACAGCTCCTGATCCCTTCTCCTCAGGCTTCGTGGCTAAGAAAGCAAACAATGGCTTCTTAGTATCATTTTTTCCACAGTACTTGTGATATAAATATATACTTATTCTCTCCACAAACTTTCTTCGAGTTCCTGTCCGTCACCATGCAGAGGGCAGAGGCCACCCAGAGGAGCAGACAGCAGTGTCTGCGCTCTCCTGCACACTTGGGTGTGGAGGGAGGGGCTGGTGCACACCTGCACTGAGTGAGCAGGGTGTCCTGCCCTGGGGAGGGGATGGAGAAGGTGGGAAGCTGAGGTGGGCTGCCCAGCTGGTGTGTGGACAACCTGGGCAGAGCCTCTCAGTCCAGCCGGCCACTGGGGAGCCCTCAGGAGGGGGAGGGCACAGGGTCTGTGTCCGCAGCACGGCCGTGCAGCAATGGTGCACACGGATCATGCACTTTGACTTAAAATTATTGGTAGCCTGAAATGTTTATCTCAGAGAATAAAATGTGACTTTGGAATGTGAAAGATCTGGGAGAAAGGCTCTCAAAGTACAGAAAATCGAGGGCACACATTCAGACCTGTTTCATTCAACAGATCTTTTCTCTTTGATTCAGACAGTGAAGACTTACTGAAGTGAGTTACAAGGGATAAAACAATATTTTATTTGTTTATTTATTTTGAGATGGAGTTTTGCTCTTGTCACCCAGGCTGGAGTGCAGTGGTGTGATCTCGGCTCACTGCAACCTCTGCCTCCCAGGTTCAAGCCATTCTCCTGCCTCAGCCTCCCAAGTATTACAGGTGCACCACCACGCCCAGCTAATTTTTATTTTTCTTTTTTTTGTAGTTTTAGTAAGGAAGGGATTTCACGATGTTGCGCTAGGCTGGTCTCGAACTCCTGACCTCAGGTGATCTGCCTGCCTCAGCCTCCCAAAGTGCTGGAATTACAGGCGTGAGCCACTGTGTCTGGCCAAAAATATTTTATTAAAAGTTAAAAGTGGCAACCATCTGAAGTTTTAAACAACAATATAGTCAGACAGAAAGTGCCCTGTGGGCACCCTCAAAGACATTGCTTTCTGTGACTGTAGTTGTCTAAGTTTTTGATTGCTATACTACATTCACAAGGGGAGAAAAGGGTGGGTCATAACATCCGTATCTGAGTCTGTGAATGGAGTACTTGCACATGTATCAGGGACAAACAAGGACATGAGAATATAGAGGGCAAGGGCCTATCTGGATGTTCTCAAGGGGCGCACTCAGCAGGTGGCAGGGGTTATCATTCATTCAGGAGGAAAATGTCTCGCAGGTCCGGGAGGTCAAGGACTCTCCTCTCTGTCAGATGTGCCTGGAATGATGGCTCCATATTTCTGTAGTGACGTAATAAGCACCATCGCCCAGACCTAACATACCTGTTCTAGATTCAGCAATCTTTGCTGCCCCTGCAGTTGCGCTGTCTGCCTTTTTCTGTAGGCCTGGCAACTTCCCTAAATGCAGATGTGAGCTGGAGGTGGGGGGATCATTTCCAGGGAGAGGGAGTAGTAACTAGGAAACCTTGAGGCAGGAGGGGCCAGACAGCATGCCATGAGGATTGCGGAGAGTGGGGGACTGGAGGAGATGTGTTAGGTTCCCAGGAACACTCCTGATTCACCGTCCTTGGCCCTCCTTCCTTCTCACAGCCCACTTGTTCGTGCATGTATCTGTCCTGTCATTTAGCCATTTAACCCACAGCTGTGGTCGCTGTGATGGGCAACATTGTTGACAATTGTGCTTGAGGAGCACAATTCAGTTCGTAATTCCTGCCTCCGATGTCTCTCGAATCTGGGTCTTCCTTTTTAGTGTCCTTCCCACCACTCTAGTTCAGACCCTCTTGAGAGCTTTATGGTGACCCTGTACATCATCTCCAATTCTATTGGTGCCCCTGACAGTGTGTCCTGTTGGGATAAGAATTCCCAGTAACCTTCACTCCTGCTCTCTCATTCCTGTTCCCTCCTCCCTTTGTCTTTGGTCACTGCGCCACCAGCAGAATGGCACAAACAAGGGACCAAACCTCAAACTCTGCCAAAGGAAAGAAACATCAGAACACTCACCCACTGAAAGAAAAACAGAGTCAGAAGGCTGAGAACAGGGCCGTGGTGGGAGTAGAGAGGAGGTTCAGAGTTTTTGACAGAGAGAAAATTGGCTTGAGGTGTGAGAGGTAGCAGTGTAAGGGGACTGTTAGCAAGTATTGATGTATATGACGTTTCCTTTGCTACCTCTGCCTTTTCAAGGTATTTCATGTTTACCTTATTTCTACAGGCTTTCTGGGGTCAGATTTGTGTTGTTGTGGTTGCTGTTGTTGTTTTAATATAAAACCTCGCTGACGTGGCGCTTAAGGAGAGCATGTGAAGGAGTTTTGATGAGGTTATGCTGGACAATGGCAAATGAACGTGCTTCATAAGTAGCATGGGGCTGGTCTCTTCCCGGTCATAAATCTGCTGTGAGTTCTCTTGATGTTCCAAGAAGGTCCTAGCTTCCTTGGAAAGAAAGGCAGATATATACATTATATATATATATAGTAGAGACAGGGTTTTGCCATGTTGGCCAGGCTTCTCTTGAACTCCTGACCTCAAGTGATCCACCTGCCTCAGCCTCCCAAAGTGCTGGGATTACAGGAGTGAGCCACTGCATCAGGCCCCATTATGAACATTTTATACTTCTTCTTCTTTTTTTTTTTTTTTTGTTTTTGAGATAGTCTTACTCTGGTTGCCCAGGCTGGAGTGAAATGGTTCAATCTCAGCTCACTACAGCCTCGACCTCCCACCTTAGCCTCACAAGTAGCTGGGACTACAGGCATATGCCACCACACCCAGTAATTTTTTGTGTGTTTTTAGTAGAGATGGGTTTTGCTATGTTGCCCAGGCTGGTCTCAAACTCCTGACCTCAAGTGATCTGTAGTCCTTGGCCTTCCAGAGTGCTAGAATTACAGGCGTGAGCTACCACCACAGCCAACATTTTATACTTCTGTTAATATTTTACAATCTGAATATATGAGTCTTCAACTTTGCTTAACTTCTACAGAATCCATAATTACTATTCATCTTATGTATGTGTCTACTCACGCTTGGTAGGCTCTGTTTTCTCTGTAAACATAAGGCAAATTATATAAGCCAACTGTTAAAAAAAAGTCTTATCTTTATTATGCAATAGTTACATGTGAGAAAACAGGAAAACAAAAACACCAAAAAATTGAAACCCCAAAAGGTGATTATTTCTGGCTGATAGTTTTGTAAAGTTTATCGACAGTATCAGATTGGCTATTGATCATTTCCATGAGACAGAAAGCACTGGTTCCAGGCTTGCTGTGGAATTGGGAAGGAGTGGATCTCTGAGTTCCAGGTGCCTTGTCTGCGCCACAGGGAAGACCCCATCATGAGGCTTCTCGTGAAGATGTAACAACAAGGGAGATATGTGGAGCACCTGACCAGGCTCCTGGCCTAGGAGCTGCGGGCAGGCAGCTTCTTACTCTCTAAAAGCACCACCTGGGCATCAGCCATGGTGAACCTGAAAAGATGGATATCATCATGACTGCTTCAGAGCTTGGTTATATTTGTTTATAGGAGATTTTCTATCGCCAGCAGATATGCCTGATGCTAAGAAAGGAAAAACAATAAGTTACCCGTTGGGTTTGGAATACTATCTGTTTGTGTAACTTTTTCTTATAACTATCTTTTGTGATTTCTAACAGATTTGAAAACAAAGTCTCTAATAGATTTAAAAACAAAGTAGGGCAGGGGTCATACTCTGAACTTTAAGTCAAAAGAATAAAAATTAATTACTACATTAAAGAATTACTCATTACTACTGTATTAATTGATGAAATGTTAAAATAGCCACACCTTAAAGAATTATTTAAAGATATAGCAAAAATAAAAGATACTTCACAAGAAAGAAAGCAAATGTAACACATAGGTTAGGTTATGTGGACAATGAGCAATAAACTTGCTTATCTCGTTTGTTGATGAATTAAATTTTGGTTCAGTTGTATTACTGTATCATTCCTGT